GCTGCCGAGTCTGGATGAGGAGTCGGAGGCACAGTTGTTGGCGTCACAGTTTATCGAGAATGTGCCTGCCACCGTCTCCCAACAGCTGAAACTGGTGAACGCAGCGCAACCGATGGATATTAGTGAACTGGCGAAGGTGACTCGTCAGCTGATGACGCGAACAGTAGCTTCGGTCGGGTGCGGAAAGCAGGAGATGAGTAATGTCGAGAAGAAGATTGAGGAGCTGGAGCGCGAGATTGCAGCAATACGAGTGAACCATAAAAGGAACGACAAATGTTACGCTTGTGGAGGGACAGGACATTGGAAGATAAACTGTCCAACAAGACGAAGACGCAGATATGTTAGACGTTACAACGAGTGTTCTTTCTATCCTAGGAACCTGGGGATTGTTGCGTTAGTAGACAGAGGGGCGGTATATACGAGAGTGAACATAAATGAGCGAGATTTAGTTTGTCTGATCGCGATACAGGTGCAGCAGTATCGTTAATAGGCAAAGAGCAGTGTAAGAGACTAAAGCCGTGTACATTAGCTGTCCACACTATAGGAGGGCATATGCTAGAAGTGTTTGGCGTATCTAACAGTACCGTAAAAGTGGGAGACGCTGAGATAAATTTTCCGTTCGTGGTAACCACAAGCTTATCGAGACCGATACTAGGAGCAGATTTCCTAAGAGAAGTAAAAGCGATAGTTGACTTAAAAAGCGGTAAGGTGGTCACTAAGTATGGTTCATTGCCAATACACGAAAGTAGCTAAGTGGCTGAAGTAAGAGTGGCAACGGATGTCTCGTCGAAGAAATCAAACACTAACGAGTTATGCAAAAAGTATGCGAAACTGTTCACTGGAGATGGGGAGCCGTATGGATTTTGTGACAACGTGAAGCACGAAATCCCGATAAAGAACGATCGAGTAAGATTCATTGCGATTCTGTCGTTCTTTGTTTTGGAGGATGCTTTGACGATCCTGGATCCATGAGATTCCTACACAATAAGTTCATTTCGTGTTTCTTTAGACAGCATCAGAGTGTGTGAACATTTTTTCATGAGTGGTGTACAGAAGCATCTCTGAACGTTTCTACTGAATTTGGTTCAGAGAGTTGTGCTTTTTCTGGGCATTGTCAAGTTGTATCTCCTTATTTCCACAGCATTCGACTGGTCTTTATATTCTGTAACATTGTCCAAACATTTCGTGTACCTACAGTAGTTGTTGCTTTGGTTTTTAGAAGGGGCATCGTCTTCATGACTTCCCAAGAACCTTGGCTTTCATCATGAGGCATCACATTTCTTCTGAACGCAGGTCCTTTGACTCAGAGGGCAGAGTTCAAATGGTTAAGTTCGTTTATTGTGGTTAGCGTTTCTTAGCACGTTTGGTGTTGCTGACCCATGAGATCTTTTCAGGGACCATAATTAAGATTTCACACACTTTCTCTATTCACATTATCAAGTATTTTCCCGAAGCCAAGAGAGTCAATATATTGTGATGAGTTTCATTCAACTAATTGTCCAAAGATGATCCATAGAGTCGCTATTTCGTCAGTAACATCTATTAAGAAGTCTGTTTATTGCTCCGATGTCCGTTTTGTTCAGCAGACCTGATCAATTCACGAGCCATTCAAATTTTTTTTACTTATCTGTTACGCTGCTCTTGAGACTAAGTGATTGGTTTGAACTCTTTTTTCTTGACTGGTCTCTCTAGTTTACCTTATATCCCTCCTGGCATCCCTGTTGTGACATATAATTAGTTACGTCTTTTGCTGCTTTATTCCCTGTCATTTTTAGTCATCCACATGGTTCCGCTTATCAGTTTTGATGTTTCTCTTTACTCTATTATTCGACCAGTGCCTTGCCATTTCTTCCCTTGTTTGGCTGTTGTTGACTTCAGTGTTCGTACTTTCCCTCTCTCGAAGCCTGGAAAGTGCATAAACAGGAATCCAGTCAACGTCCTGGTGCTTCTTGCAGCTTAACACATCTTAGCAATATTGAAGTGATCGCACACTAATGTAGTTCCAATTGTTTACCATAGTGGTTTCCTCTTTTCCTAGATCTTGTAAAGCCTGGAGCTAGTTACTGAGATCCATTTTGAATTCGTTGAGTTTATCAGCATCTAGAAGGAACGCTGTCTTGAACCTCTGTAATGCTGTTCGTTCAGCTGTTCAGTACTCTTCCAGTTTGAGCTTCATCTTGGCTACCACCAGGTGATAATTTGCAGCTATAGCAGCACCTCTCTTTATCACACAATCTTTTGTGAGCCAAAAATGTTATCGATGCTGATGTAATCAGCATGGCTCTTCGAAGTGTAGATCGGTTAAACCCATGTAGTTTTGTGTGTGCATTTGTGTTACTTATAACTATGCTGCGGGAAACCCAATGACATGCAGTTCTCTAACCCTTCTCATCCCTTCTTCCAAGCCCATGTAGTCCCTTGGCATATTCATACACGATGTGTTCCATTCGATCCTAAGATCTGGGTATCCCGTCAAGATCGTCAGACATTTCTCTAGGCGTTTTTCCCACAACTGACTGCAGCCTCTTACAAAATTGGTCTTTATTGTCTCCCCTTCTATAATTGGTTTGGACAACACACTATATGACATTCATTTTAATCCATTACTTAATTTTATAGCATTCTTTTTTTATCATGGGGCCATGAGATTTTCACCCTACAGACGTTTTTCTAATTTTTTTTATAGATCATCCGTGAGAATTATTTTATGCCAAAGACAATTTCTTTATGACCACAATACAATAGCAACTCTTCTGAAGGTAATCTTTTCTGTCCAACTTCATCCCAATGGATTCCACTTATTCAGAGCACCTCTAGGTCGTATCTTTACTTTCAACAGCTAATTGAGTGTTATATCCAGTTTCCCATATTGTGTGAACATTCTATGCACCTATATACTGTCGATCTGATTATCAGAATTGGAATCAGCCTCATGATTTTCGAGGTGTAAAAGCTATTGTAAATGAAGACCCTTCAACTCCCGGTTCCGAGCTTATACGGTCTAAGTGATTTTTCCTGGTCTTTGTTTTATAGCAAGGTTTGTCCCACTGGGTGGTGTTGCTGCAGTGAACGAGAATACCAGTGGGGACAACCAAATGTAATTTAACTCAACATTAAAAAATATCTTGGTAAAATCTGAGAACTATACAGTAACAATTCATTTTCGAAATATCCATCAATTGTCTCAGACTTGATTGTTCCATTCTCTGTTTTCGTTCTCTTCTCTTTCATCTTCCTAACCTTCTGCCAGGCATTTCACTTTCAATTGGTGATACATATCACTTATGTCTGTCGACATCTGTAGCACACACTATATTGCTAGCCTCTTGCCTTTTCCTTGACTCTGACGAGGACCGATGTGTTGTTTGACATTCAGCGAATTAACTGCCGGATGATTTGCCTAAGCCTCAGTAACATTTCACTGGCCCCAGAAGGGGTTGAAGCGAGGTTGAAAATGCCGTTATTCGGAACAGTTTAGATACTCTGAGTTTTCGTGGTATAAAATTATTCAGAAAATTCATAACTATTAACGTCGTAAACTATTTTCGGCCAGTATTAGTATAGTTTTCGAATAATTAATAAGTCTTGTCTAATGTGTTTCTCTACTATAGAATAGTAAAAATATTTTGTATCATATTCACAGGAAGCCATGAAATCAGTTTACGAAATTTAGTCAAAATTCTTATGATAAAGAGTGGATACACTGAATCCATATTTCTTAGAATTTAGATGGCAAATTAGAGAACTAATAATAATCTGCAACGCCATAGATACCGTGACTATAAATTGAAAGATTCGCTCAAAATCCGTTTTAGAACAAACGAAAACGAGATATTTAATTAAAAATAACTTTCCTGTATCCTATCCATAGCCATGTGATACGTAGTAGCTCAGGAAAAATATTGGGAATTGAAGGGCGGTGATTGTGATAGCTAGTGTTCGTAGAGGGTTGGGCAATGTACTTATAGTTTCGATTCCGATATTGTCATTTTCTGAGGCTTGTGTTACCGCTGATTGTTGTTTTCTGCTTTCCTTAAAATGTAAGTGCACTTTTGGTGCCTGATCTATCTCCCACTGAACTTTTATTCTTCTTCCCACCTCTCCTCATGCTATTCGGCATCCTCCCCTAGTGTATTGTATCATCTGGTTAGACACAAACTGCTACACTTTTTAGGAATTGTTTGAACTGACTGAATGATAACTCAACTTTTCAACCTGAGTGATCCTAGTTTATCTTACTGAGGTTCAACCCACACTGATTTTTTTCTCTCGACATTTTGCATACGATATCGTCAAACAACATGCCTAATAACATCAGAGAGATCGCTAGAAACTAACGGACAGTCTTCTCGTTTGCAACCCACCAGTTCACACGCTACCTTGTAAGTGATCAAACCGCATGACTGCTCTTCATAATTGCTTGACGTGACATTGATATCAATTACTACATTCATATCTCAGATGCAAATTATCATAACATGAGAGAATGTCTATTAGGATTTCAATGAACCGTACATATGACAGCTAGTAGCCGCATGCCACTACCACTCATTTTTCCCCAGCTAGCCGTGAATTTAGGCAAGATTATTCGATGTATCAGTCGTTTTTCGAATCTACTATAAGTGATACTCTAAAGATCATTCCGAAGGAAGTGCGTGGCAGTGGTGTAAACCTATCACTCAAAAAAAGATCAACCTGGCAATGAAATTTTCATGCCATCACATGACTCAGTTGTATTTATCATTTGGTGATCGTTGTTCAAATGATTAAAGTCTGGATTATTTTCTCAAGATCAGTGAAACTCTATACCTTTACTAATCTGGGAATTTTCTCGAGTAGTTGTGTCTTTGCTTGCCAGGGTATTTTTTTCTACTTCACGATTAGGTTTTCCATTTTATTCATTTTTATTTTTAACCATAATAATTATTCGCTTCAAATCGCTCTTGTCTGCGCTTCTATGTTCCAGTTTCAAGTAAGCTACGAGAAAATACTAGAGGCTAATGGAAGCTGTTGCTAACTATCCATTTACTCCTACTGAACCTGATGAACTTGGGTTTGAAAAAGGTAGTACTTTATATATCATTGATATGGAAGAGGATCCGAACTGGTATAAAGCCCGACAAGGGAACCAAGAAGGCATGGTACCTGCAAACTATATTTCTTTGTATCCTCATCCATGGTACATACCCAGATGTAGTCGGCGAGAGGCAGAGGCCAGACTGTTAGAAACTGATCCGAATACGAATCGGGACGTACAACCTGATGGAGCATTTATTTTACGGCAAAGCGAAAATGATCCTGGTCAGTTCAGTATCTCGGTCAAGTAAGTTAACGATATATATATATATATATATATATATATATATATATATATATATATATATATATATATATTACTGTTCATTTTGTTGACTTCTAGCAAGTCATCGGAAAATCGTTCTTAAGCTATGGGACAGCTAACTTCATAGGTGCTTTACAAGACGTTTGTTCGAAATTGCTCTTTTCTCTGCGATATACAAGTTACTATATTCAGATCTTATGCTTGTTCATCCTATGCTTTTTTAGTCAGCGACTATCCAATGATTAAGTTTCTGGTTCGAACTCCGGGAAACGAGGTAGTATTACTAGCCCTTACACTCAATCCAAAGTACCTAGCCAGTTAGTTAATAAAAAGCGTTTTGTCATTTTGCTCTTGTGTTTCTGAGTTTAACAGTCTAAACTGTTCCACTACTACTTAGAACTGTGTTCAGTTTACTGGTAGTTTGTCAAATCGAAATTTCCAAAACAGGTTAAAAGGAATCACGAACTAGATTTCGACATAACTACTATCTTTATTAGAGTTCATACACCATAGCTCATTTAGGCATTCAACGGTACTTTGCATCGTGTTTATTCAAAATATTTAATATATTTCATTTTTATGTACCTTGCAGAGAAGGTTCATCGGTTTTGCATTTCCGTATATTTTTCGATCCAAGTGGTAAGTATTACATCTGGACGAATAAATTCGACTCAATCAATGCCCTAATCGATTATCATCGTCATCAAACAATATACGGGGTAAAAGCACTCCTACTACGTGATTGTGTTTCAAGTAATGTAAGTTATGTTGGGCATAATTTATTATCCATTGGAACCTGTCCTTGTATATTTGCTATTATATACATGTACGCAAGTCCATCCTGATTCATTTTCCAGCACTTTTGATTCTCTTAATCTACACTAGTGCCCTTAAAATTAGTAATTAATTCAATTAGTCAGTAACAACGTAGAACTTCGCACGTACGTAAATCATTTCCAGTTACCATACCACATTAGCACAGAGATGCAATTGTCTATTCAAATCCCATAGTAGTAGAGGTAGTAAAAGTATAAGCGGTAATCGGAAACATTAGGGTTTGAAGATGTTATTCAAGGAGTATAATCCAGTAAAATAAATTTGGAAAGATAAAAAAGAAAGGGATATGAAGAATTCAGAAAATTAGAATTTGGGAGAACACAGAGTGGATGCACCTGCGCCATTGCAAGCGATTTTGAACCATGTCATTCAAGTTGTCTAGCCATTGGTTGCTATCATCTCGCGGATCCCAACCAGGTAGTCTACACCTACCAACATGACTCAGTCCACTTGTCAGTGACTCCATGGATTTGTGCTATGTTTTGGTCTGGCCGCCCCTAGCTTTCTTCCAATCTACTCATATACCATGAAACACCACACGTCGAGAAAGTCGGTGGTTGGGCATACGTACCATGTGTCCCAGCCATTTCAACTGATGAAGTTTCACTACTTCATCAATTGATTTGCCATCCTTACCTAGTACCCGTTTCCTAACAACTGCATTACTTACTCGATGGTCTCAGAATATACAAGCAATGCTTCAAAGACAGCCTACGAATATCCTCTACTTTTACCAACCATGTTCCACTGCCATAAAGTAGGACGGAACGAACTGCTGCACAGTAAACACGTCCTTTGGTTGGTAGACGGATATCTCGCCTACGCCAGAAATGATGCAAGTTGGCAAAAGCTAGTCGAGCCTTCTGTATCCGTGCTGAGATTTCGTCACACACCAGACCACAAGGGCTGATGAAACTCCCCAGATAAGTGAAGCGGTCAACATGCTCAATTACTTCACTCCCTATCATTAGTTCGGGTGTCAATGCAACCCAATCCTGAAGCAACATTTTGCATTTTGAGGGGAGAATCGCATCCCGAATATGCTTGCATTATTGCTTAGAGTGGTCAGAAGACTGCATTTTATCAGCGTCTTCACCAAATAAAACTATGTCGTCTGCATATTCCAAGTCAACAAGTGAATCTCCTGGCAGAAGTTCAACCCCTGCAAATTTAGATGAGGAAAGTGTCATCTCTAAAAGCACGTCAACGACAAAGTTGAACGAGAATGGGGAGAGTGGACAGCCCTGACGAACACCACTTGAGGGAATCAATTCTGATGACAGTTCGCCATAAGCTCTCACTCGACCAGTCGTGTTCAAGTAGAGAGCCTTTATAAGGTTAATGTACTTCTTTGGTACTCCTTTCAGTGACAAACACTCCCATAGAATCTTACGATCAACAGAGTCGAATGCCGCCTTAAGGTCGAGAAATACTACGATTGTGTGGCGTCTGAACGTGTGTCTGTGTTCTAGAACCTGACGTGGTGTGAATATCTGGTCTATACAACCACGTCCAGGTCGAAAACCAGCCTGATTTTCTCTAGTCTGTTCTTCACGAGCTTTGGTTAGGCGTCGAAGTATTATTGAAGCTAATATTTTGGACACTATATTAGTCAAACTGACTCCTCTGTGATTGTCACAAGAGGACTTTTGTCCTTTCTTATAAACTGGCACAATCAGTGATTGAGACCAGTCAGATGGGATTACGTCCAGTTCCCAAATTCTACTTAAGACCTCAGTTAATCTCACTGCTAATACTGGACCACCATCCTTAAAAATCTCAGAAGTAAACCTGTCAGATTTCCGATAGCTTTTTCAACTTCATAAAGAGTCGGAGGACCTACATTAACTTGCCATTCAGGTTGACTACCGATCGTGGAAAACCGAAATGTGGCTGAAGGCCAGTTGAACTGATCCATAAAGTGTTCTGCCCATCGATCCAATCTCCTGGATTGAGAGTGAATAATAGGTCCATCTTTTTCCGAGATGGTTTCGCTAACAGTTGGATTCCTAATAACGGTTTCCTTGACAAGTATGAACAGCTGTATTGTTACCTATTACCGCTGCCTTTTCCATCTCTCTTGTTTTCGCTACCCACCAGTGTTCGCGATCATTGTCAGCTTGGGCTTAAGCTGACTCCGCTCTTCATCATGTTGAGAGCCAGATGGGATTAGTTTTCGAGCATCATTCAATGCGATAGATGTTGCTGAGATCCACTGTCTCTCCCTAACCTTATGGTTCACCTTACTCGAAGATATCACTGCTGTTTCCACAGCTTTTTGGATATCATTCCAAGCCGCCTCGGGGTGGACGTCACTTACATGGCTGCCTAACTGTTTTCATAGTTGTTCCTGAAATATATTCTTAGCTTGGCTATCATTAAGTAGGACCATAAGAGGTTTCCCTGCAGCGTCTTTCCTGCGTCCAGTAAGAAGCAGAAAATTACGCGCCCTCACTAGAGCATGATCTGAATCCAGAATGAGTGACAGTCTTCTATGGAGCCCCTCCATCGGTGGCCGATAGCGATGTGACATAGTTGGGTCCAGCGTTGGGATGAATTCGGTGGTCGCCATGTCAAAAAAATGTTTTTCCTAATGCTTAAAGTTAGTATTTGCAAGAAACAGGTGGTTATTTGAGCATAGCTGCAGATACTGGTTGTACGTAGATTGCTTTCATATCACGATACTATGTCGCTATCGAACTAATTCTAGGGTTTATAAATTGTGTTTAGTATGGAGGCTGCTAGGATGATGTTTGTAAGACATGTTTAGTTTATCAAACTAAGTGTTTTGAAAAGGTCACGCCATTTATCAATACTATCTCTAAACCAGTTTTTAAGGATTTCTGGATTACTTGTAATCAGAATCAACCAACCCGGTCATAGAACTACCAAGACACATGAACTTTTTGACGGTTTCCGGTTTCATTAGAAAAGTCGAATGAAAACTTAGGTTCCCACTAATCTCAGATAGGTACTTTGCGTTTTGAAGGTTCAAAAAGTATAACTTACCTAAACTGAACGCCAACTGATTTCAGTCAGTCAGTCAGCTACAACGTAGCACCAGGCACATATATGCATCGGTCCAGGTTGCCATACCTCATTAGCACAGCAAGATGAACACCGGATTCATAGGAGTGGTTAGGTCAAAGGTGGTAATACATATAAGAAAGATTGCATATAAGGATATAGTACAGGAAGAAAGAATTAGTTCATAGAAAGAAAGATATTAAGTGATTTTAATCTCTTAGTTTAAGGGAAGACAGGGAGTGTATGCACCGACGCCATTGTGATCGATTCTGAGCCGTGTCACCGAGAGTCTCCAACCATTGGTTACGATACTCACGCGGACCCCAACCAAGTAGTCTGCATCTACCAACATGGCTCAGACTAGGAGTTAGTGTCTTCAAGCACTGATGCCACGTTTTGGTTTGGCCGCCCCTAACTTTCTTCCAACCATCCCCTACACCGGTTAGCATCGCACGTCCGCCGGCGCACCGGCGGACTTGACACTTTAACATGGAGCGTAGCAAAGAAGGAAGTGGCACGGCGAGCAGAACAACCGAATGAGCGACCGTTTAAGAACGAGACGAGTATGGTTTATGCTATTTATGTTGACAGATATAAGTAGCATATAACACCAGTCAGAAGTGGAATGACTCAGGAGAAGGTTGAGAAGAGAGCGGGAATGAAAACAGAGTAATTGTAATACAAACAGAAATAAAAAAACGATGATGTTTGTAAGCGAAAATTGATGGAAGTTGTGCAAATGAAGTATTTAATTTATGGCTTTCATATTTTATGAAGACACTGATTTTGCATTAAATAATAAATTGGTTTTTCCCACCTGAGTGTTCGTTCACTTCAGATCTACACAATTATATGCATCATTCAGAGCTGCCTTCAGTATATGATCGGCAAAACAACGCAGTCCTACCTAACCTCACTATTGGATTAGAACTATGGGGATGATTGATTGTATCCCTCCACTTTGGGCTTCTGTTAGTCTGTAGTCTGTCATTCTCTTCACTACTGTGTTAGTTGAGGGATTTCTCCATGAAACCAACCAGTGATTACATGTGAATGGAACGTAAACTAGTTAGAATAAAGATCACTCCGCGTTCATAAAAAACAATACCATCAGTCAAATAAGTGACCGTATCCATACTAACTTTTTGTTTGTTAAAACATATTCATTCTTGCCCTTGTACTCAGTTGCTACTCGTAACTATCCTTCCCGAAAATCTTTCTATCACTTGAAACTAAGTAACTGAACAATTTTTCTGATTCACTTACTGATCTTATTTTTACTTGTTGTAAGAATTACCAGTAGTCGCATCAACTGTCGAAAGTTTCTGCTACATAATTTATCATTTCAAAACTAAATTCGCATCAGTAGCATCTTTCAGGAATGATACAGTGATTAAACATATTTTCGTTAAAACATAACCGGCAATGTTTCCTTTACGAGAAAAAGAGATCGTCAATATATCAGTAATGTAAAGGAAGATTTATAAAACCATCATTTGTAAAGTATTGTTATGATCAACACTATGTATATGTGCTTTCTAAGACTGCTTATTACGTAGTGCGATTTAACAAATTCAAATTGTTTGTGTAGTCACAACAGGGTAATGTAATTCATTTATAATGTTCTGGTTTATGTACTCAGCTTTGATCCACATGTTTCTGATGTATGGGATAATTGTACTATCCAGCTCCCCAAAACGAAGTACGTAAAGTGGGGTTTGAACCTGCTACTTACTGTACAATCATAACTAACTAAGCTTCACTATTGTTATCTTTAAGTGTTATTAATAATATACCCCTAGTGATAAGAGGTAGTCGATAGGACATCTTTGGATTGGGTTTCGTTCCAATTGATAGATGTTAAATTGAGTTATATACAGTATTTAAATAGGCGATCCTCTCTGTGCAGTCCGAACTCGTGTCAACAATTGTTACAGTTGAAAATACCTTAAATTGATGTGAAAGGCCCCATTATCACATACGACTAATTAAAACTAAATAGCGACTGACTACTGTAAATACTGTATGTAGTCTTCCGAGCTTCAAACTTGATAGAATTATAAACCAAAGACGTTTTTCTGCATTCTAACATACACTGCTGCTGTATGGTCGTAACGGTGATAATAGAAAGTTATGGGGAGCTATATTTTCATTTTTTGAGAAGTGAGGTGGTTATCTGCTTTGAGTAAATGGAATCCAAACTTTGTTGGCGCTATAATCCGATGATGAAGCATTGCTACAACTGTTTTAATTATTTAAGCAAAATGGCATATGGCATGGGATGTGGAGTTATTCTTTTATCACCAAACCCCATGTCTTAACAGATGCCAGTAACTCGTCAAATCAATTTGATAATATTAAGATAGGTAATAATCTACAAAGGTAAGTGAGGAAAAATAAATAAAGCTTTTAAGGAAATTAAATTTCAGTCATATGTCTAACTTTAGTCAAAAAACTATTTAAGTCCTAAGAGCACTGGAAAACTGTCTCACCACATAATGACACTCGTTTACAGCACTTGTGAAAACCCTGCTAAAAATAGGAAATATGGTTTTCAAACTTCTTAGCCACCAACTAACCTTCAGATTATAGGGTTTGCTAATGAATTTTTGCAGTTGTGACTTCAGTGAATTCGCGAAATCGCGCGATCATCCATTACCACCACGAACCAAACATAGTGCCCTCAGGCCTCACGCTGCAGTTTGTGAGCAGTTGATTTGGATCTAAAGACATAAAACATTTTATTCTAATGAATTTTTTGTTTTCGTTACTTCCAAGTGTGCGAAGTGAAGTGTATACATTAAACATTATTGTAGTAAAGGAGAACACAAGTGGAGCCAACCGAATGTATTTGAACACAACATTACAGAACATCTTAGTAAAATCTGAAAACCATACAGTAAATACTTGACTTGCAAAATGTCAGTCAATTGCCTCAAACTTGACTGTTTCTTTTGCAAATGTCATTCAGTCGTCTCAGACTTCACTGTTCCTTCATTCCCACAGCAACCATTCTCTGTCCTCGTTCTCTTTTATTCGATCTTCTTAACCTTCTGCCTTCGGGCATTTCACATTCTACTTATATCTATCGACATCAGCACACAATACAAAATCTGTTAACTTTCGGTTTTCGGCCTGTAACACTAAGATTCATTTCTATAAACATTTAAACAATGAACCCTTAAATTTGGACTATTATATGCGATCCGGTTTCTCGACTATAGTCATGAATCTAGCTCTTCAAATTTATATCACTCGGGTAGTAATTTGTCATCAATTATTCATGTGGAAATCTTTACTATTTATTTAAAGTCTATTAGTATTATTAACCAATATTCACCGATTTCAGTTGTAAATCCAAGTGTTTTTCGTTCCGTTGTTTTAGATGTTTTTTAGATTTTTCGGTTTTGATCTAAATTGTAGGAATATGTGTATGAGACTTCTGAGAGTTGACTTAGAACATACTGGATCAGTTTCATTGTATCAACTGATTGTATGCCCACCATTTCCTACGTAACTGTATCATTAAATTCTTGTTTAGAACATTTCGTAATTATAGTACTTAAGTTGGCATCTAATGAACAGGTTTAAAACACGAATATAAAACAATCCTAGTGTTTACAAAGGATATTAACGATTATACCGACTAGATTACCTCTATATTTAGTCTGGATACTTTCTACTTAGCTTTTAAACCAGTCATACTTTCGTTATTTTTACTGCTGTATCGCTTCTTATGAGTTTTCTACGCAAAAGAAAACCCCATAAGATTTATTATTTAGTGGTCTGTTTGTAATTTTCAGACTTTTGGTTCAGTTGGTTCCGGTCCTAATGTGGTTTTTAATAACCCTAGCGTTCACACAAATACCTCTATCAAGGGTTCCCAACCACAGGCTACCGTTGGTTCACATTTACATACTAAAGAGCACTCGGCTCAAATGAATGTGGATTTACCTCCTGGAGTGGTATTAACAAATTTATCGGGACGACAATGTGTGGCCAAGTTTGACTTCAATGCTGAGTTTCAGGAGGAAATGTCATTTCGTCAGGGAGATCGTCTTCGACTGCTCGGTGAAGAAGATGAGAATTGGTGGTTTGCTGAATTGATAACTCATTCTTCTAGTGGTCAACCAACTTCTCAAGGCTTAATTCCTGCTAACTATGTCAAACTCTTATCAAATAATACGTCCAATTCCACAGTTTCTAACATGCGTAGTAATCCCTCTAAAGTTCTACAACCCTCTGCTCAGATCGCTCGTGCTACTTAACCTCCTTTGTATAAGTATAGTTGCAACGCCAATATATGTACACTACCTTGATATATTTGATGAATCAATTTGTCTAATTTCCACAGCTTTTGTGTTTATTTTTATCGTGTTTATCTGCTTTTGTGGATGAACTTTCATGTGATAACTATATGGTAAGTGATAGAAACTCATGCTCATCTCAGTGACTGATTCGAAGCTCAATCTCGATCTCACGTGGATTTTCTATTTACCGAAAGTTCATAATACGATCGGTTTCCTGTCAGCGAATTTCAGTTTAAATCTCAAAGTTATTTGAATGTTTTTTTAAATGAAATAAATTGTACTACTGAGACTAATTGGTCATCGTGATTTGTATTTTTTTTCAGAATCGAAGCGTTGCTTTGGTTCTGTTTTTCATTGTATTTTTAAATGAAATATTAGTTTTTCTGACTGATCTACGTTTGCGAATATTTATGTATGTGGGCTAAAATGTTTCCGATATATATATTTGGTCTTAGGTTATGTCATTGTTTAGTGCATAGTTATCAGTGTATATTGCTATTATCAACATACGCACATTCTCTGTAGAAATTACTTTCTATAACAGGCCAATAAATAGTAGTTGTTTATCAAACACCCAAAGTTTCTTCAGCAAGTTCACGTCTTTGTTTCGTTGTCTAATATACCATCAATTATGACTACCTCTGTTGTATGGTTTTTTTACAGACTGTTAGAACTAAATTTCCTTTCAAATGGTCATGTTTTTTTCGAGATTTCGCCATAAGTTGAATAAACACGATCCCACAGGAATATGTTACATAATTTTAATACTCAGTGCGAATCGACTAATTAAAATGTAGCAGTTAAAGTGACCGAGAAGAATTTGTCTCACTAAGTATGAGAATAGAATGCATAGATGGTTTAGAATTAATTTGCTCTAAGTCTTTGCTAAAATGTATTTATTTAAATGCTTGGCATGTTTGCACCAACTATTAAATCGAAAATATCATTCATAGATTAACTTAAATTGTATCAATTATAAAGTCGCACGAAGTACTCGTTTAGTATTCAGTAAATATGAAATCTCAATTATCATAAAAGAAAGTTACTGTGTCATTGAGGAAAAATTACAGACAGTTCAAGAAAGAAATTTCCATTTTCGACAATGTCATTTACTTAAATTACAAACGTATTCTTTGTTAACTTTTAATGTTCGCACCCTGTGTCAGACAGGAACACTGGCTTCGTTAGCAGGAAAAAAGAGTCTCGCGTCATCGATGTATGCTACGTCTTCAAAACGCGTGTACAGAATCCAATTACGGTCACTCATTTGACTTCACCATGTCAGTATTAAGGACCGGGACGATATACTCTACATGTATCTGAAGACCCTACTGCTACTTCACGCGACATCGTTGGTATAGATATAGAATTAAGTGCAAAAGCAGAACAGGCTCCCCTAGAATGAACGGGACAGTAAGAACTCGGAAAAATAAGAGTACGTGACGTTACCTGTTCGCTTTCTCTGCCTTCTCTACCGCTGATTGCAGCTTGAACAAAGTTAAAGATGAACTTTATGGGAAGCTATCCAGCCTCTTTCAAAAAGCTGAATGCTCCGATGTAGTGTTAGTGATGGGTGATTTTAATACTTAAGTAGGTAAACTAAACCCAAGCGAATGGCATTTAGGCTGGTCTGACGGTGTTGCAACTTTGAACAGTTAATGTTGGCCGTCTCTTGCGACAGTGGACAACCGTTTAGACCTATCAAGTAAACGGGTCTTTATTGTTACTACACCCATGTTTTCGACATTTTTTTATCTTCCTCATACGCCGTAAGTGGATAATTATTTCTCAAACATTTGTTCTCATCTTACGCAACTGTGTTTTGATGATTGAAGTGATCTGTTTATATTTTCGACCAAGGGGTAAGTGGCGTAAACCAATGAATTATCACTTAGACGTACGAGATAACATGACTACTAAAAGTAGTGACAATTTGTCGCAGAATTCGAAGAATCCCATTATTTTTTGAAAGTAAACTCTTCATTAGACGTTTCAAATACCACATTTCTGTTGATCTTAGAGCAAGGAGATAGGTCGTAAATCGAACATATTTCACATAATTAAAGATGTTATTCTGTTTCTTAAAGTTCACTTTTATTAACATACGCCCTTTTTAATAGTCTCCTTTTTTGCTCGCGCCCTTATCTGCATGAACCATTACTTCGCTATTGAAAACCTGAAGTTGGTAGTGAGTTACATCAACATTAAAAATGAATTATATCAAGCTCTATATCAACAACTAGCATAGTCGGAAGTGCGATTTAACGACAAATAACTCATCGCAATGTTACTGAAAATGACAGTATTACCGGTCCATAGAACTTCCAAGCAAAAGAATGATTGTTCTACACGCAATATTAAAATATTGAATATTACTCTTTAAAATGAGTATAAGTTGTCTGGTTACCTCTTCACAGTATTCACAAATAACTTGTGTTTACCTGCAAAAATCTGCTACAATATCCACACATAAATTTGACTTAGTGTGAGAGGATTAAGTCTCTAATTTTTGACTGGAATGAACTGTCCGTACAGATGGTTCTAAAAAGAGATTGATATGGAGTAACTTATTGCTGTTGTAAGCTATAATAAAATACAATGGAAGAGTTTGCTTTTCTAAGCACATGGGCGAAACATTTTTGCATGAATATTTCGAATACATAGTGGTAAAACGTATATTGGACTGTGTTCTTTTGGTTTTTGGATATCATTTACTGTTCAATCAGTGACTAAATTCTCAGACCACATGAATATTTTGCACCAACTTTACTGATAGAACGGAGGCCTTAGGACGTAAAATTCTAGCTACACTGAACTTTCATCGATACTCCTTGAACATAAATAAGAAGGTTATGACTCAAACGTTAATAAATGAGTACTGATATTTTCCAAAATCCTTAATGATGGAAATGAAACAGGTAAGAAGGAGGTAGCTCAGAAAGTGAGATGTACTCTGATACGTGTTGCAAAAAACTCAAGTTATTTCCAAATTAAATTACACGATTTACCATGTGTGCGTTAGTAAGAACATAACTATATACATGTATTGTATGAAGACGATTGATTATGTGGTCTGTCATAGTTTTACTTTTCTACGGCACAGAAAACAGTTGTAGTTACGTTAATGAAGGAGTTTATTCCCGTGAAATCCACACTGGATAATCTTCAGAATACTAAACTTTATATTTTAGTCACTCCACTGGCATTGATACGCGCACTACATTTTCTACACCACATCGTTTATCTGTAAAACTATGTTGTTTTTTTACGTCGATTTATGAAATTGGAGGTAAAGCTATACTAAGGACGACGCACGTACAACAGAACTAAAAGAACGGTTTCGGCTAATTTATAGCGCATTACTAAATACACAAGGAATGTTGGGATCAATATTTCAACATATAGGTAAAGTTCCCATATAGGAGTGCAGAGAAAATATTCGGTAAGTAGTCACTACAGACGAGATACGTTTTGTTCTTTTCTGCCAGTAAGCACTAAATTGAAGTTAATGAGATTGACCATGAAGATTCAACATTGTTTGAACAAACTTACTTTCCATCTATGATGAGCATATTTATTTTTCAGTTAAGTTGTGCTCCAGATGTATTGACTTTCTATTGTTCACGTTCATCATTGAAATGTGACTTTATGAAAAGTATGTATATGAGGAACAAGGTTTAAGGAGAGTTATTATCCCTGTAGGTTTATTGAGAAAAATTTATAACAAGTTATGGATTTTAGTGTTTGTAAATAGTAATAAGAACGCTTCTAAGAAAGAGTTGGTAGCCTCTACTGTTTTCACACAAGAAAAGAATGTCATAAACCAAGCTAAAAATCATGACATCGCTCTTGAAGACATCCAAAGTAAACAAACAGAAAAAATGAATATATCTCGTTTTTCGCAAGATAGTATAGGACAACAAACCTAAAAAATAATTCACTTTGATGGAACAAAACACAACGAAACAGTTGTTTTTACAGAAATGATCTTGTGCCAATTCCAGATCGTTAGTACTACTACTATCCACGAAGTGAATGAGTTATTCTTATGAAATCCAGATTTTAAACATGTGTCACTGTCCAGACGTGAATTTGGAAAGTAAGTTTCACTCAAAAGAATAAATAGTAAAAAATAATAGTCATTTTGATTTGATAGTAAACAGTGAACACAGTTTTCGTATGTGACTTCTTATCTAACAAATATACTTGGGAAGGAATCGAACATTGAATTCATTTATTAGTTTTCATCCGTTGTGACATTTCTAATATTTGGATATCAGTGATTCCGATACTAACTATTCAGTGGCATTTTTTCAAACTAACTTATTTATAATATGATAATTAGTCTATGAAAACTAAATTCAGTACGTAAGTTCATTTGCACTGAATTTTTCCTGTCATATAATTACGTGTTCGTGCTTTTTCTCTGTCGTCCAATAGAATCTGCGGTTAATAAAATTAAATTGCATTGCGACTAGTCAGAAAAACGAAATGGCACTCAAATATTTTCTAGGAATTAGGTCCCTGTAGAAAAATCTATTATCAAGCCGCAATCACAATCCATGGAGAAAAGTTGTTACATTTGGTCAAATATTGACAAAACCACATCACATTCGGCTCACAAACTCGTTTATAAATTCAGCATTTAAAAATAGATGAAATGTTCTCCAAAGATCTAGATTTTCAGAATCGAGACTAAATATGTATAACTTCTGATTTCCTACCGTAAACCATACGTATTCCAAATGTTTCATCATCCAACTACAACTTTAAATTTCATGGCTATGAATATGTGAGGGGAGATTTCTTGTGAACTAAACGAAGCTAAGTAATGATTTTCAATTATTCAAATAAATAACTTGCTCGTAGTTTTTAAGTTCTCCAAATGATGAAAATCCACAAACGAATTAATGGGCATTTCTCTTCAGTAAGCTAATTTCAACTGACTTATTATAGGCCTAAATCGATTGTCACATTTTCTCGTCATTACTATCATTAAAACATTAAAAATTTTGACAGATATTAAACGAAGAAAATAGGTAATTTGGTTTATTGGATAGAGATAACTGTCAACTTCTTAAAATCTTATCCATGATATTTCTCGATTAATCTAAGTAACGATGAGTAAATTAGGTCTACAGCATTTGTACTCCAAAGTAGCCTAAATGATTATAATTTTCAATATAGTTCACAGAGATGATAGTTTTGTTAATCCTTTGTATAAGTAAATCGATGCTTTCGTTTGTACATAAATGATCATTTCCGCCATGATAAATGACTGTTGGAATGTTAAAGTTTTTCAGGGTGTATGAAGGAGGATCGTCTTGACCATAAATATGTCTATTCATGTACTGTCCGTAGTCAAATTTCTGTAGCAGATGACTGTCAATCATCTATAAAAAATATCCGGAAAAAATTTCTCACTGTTTAATAAATTAGTTCATAGTATTTAAGAAACTATTTATTAAGTGGTTAAAGAAATATCGCTTCCCTATGCACCACAATATAAATAAGATACGCTCCAGAGGCTAATATGATCCAATAGATTTTCTAAGGCTGATGTTATAAGGTATTTCTAATGAGTGCGTGAGTATAACTATCACTAACGCATCTATCTTAACTTGGTTTTATATGTCTATTTATTGAAATAAACATCGATTGAGTTAAACCATCAAATACATAGAGGAAGAAGAATACTCTGCTTACTCCATACAAAAAATTAAGTGAAAGCCATGGATTATATGCGAAATTGTGAAGACGAGTCATAACACATCGGCCTTTACAAATCATTTACTGACTTATGATTTACTGAAATAAATTCATTAAAGAAACACTGTAGTATTTATAAAACAACAAAGAATGAGTGAGAGTACCTTAGCTTGTAGTTACGGCAAATGTTCCAACTGGAGACTAGTTATGATATTTAACATAAGATTTGAAGAAACAGAGTAGCGTAACTTTTGTAAGAATCTTTTTTTATAATTCCAGTTGGGTTGGTCTGATTTGACTATCTTTCACTTCTAATTGCACTGTTCGAATTCGCAAAATTTTTTCTACCTATTACATCGCTTAGGCTACGTTATAAAAAGTATTTTGTGTTTCTTCTACAGATATTTTCTTCGTCTCTGTCATAATACTTGGAACGTTTACAAAAAAATTCATATTGTGAATAGCTACTGATAATCAAACAAAATGTCCCACGGTTTGTACACCGTTCACGTCCAAGAAAACACGCGATCTGTGACATACTCTATTTAGTATTGTGTAAAACGAATAAATTTTGGGAGCGGTGAAAGACTCGCTACTCAGACTAGATGTGGTCAACATATTATAACGCTTCATCATGACATTAAAAGCTTGAGAAAGCTTAGGTCTTGATGACGTAGAAAACCACTTCCCTAAAAGACTTCAAACCTGCGGAGATATGACTTAATTCGGTTTCATTCTACCAAGTATATGGTGATAAAAGAATAAAAATAACCGTACTCATAAATAAAATTCTAAATAATTTTATGATAGAAAGTCAAAAAGCATTTCAAACTGGGGTTGTAGTGATAAACTTGCGAAATACTTATGTATTTTGGTCACCGTGTAATACGAGCAAAATGACCTGACTTAGGTTCAATCCAATAAGAGCTGCTCACATACGAGTGAGCAACAAAATAGTGCAAATAAAATATAACTGATTATAAGTTTTAAAATGATTTACTCGTGTAAACTACCAAGTGGCAGAACGTGTTATGGTATTCAACTAAATTACAACTAACTAACAGAATGTGTAATTAGGTATCAGATAAATTAATATCTGACTTTTTTTAAATGACTAATTTGGGTAGGGTTCAAAATAGTACCAAATATATTTTAACGCAACTAATTAAAAGGAATTAGAGTACTTAACAATGACAAGAGTGCTGACTTTTTTTATAGGGAACAGCGATAACTTCAGAAAAGAAAAATTGGTTAATAAGAAGATATGGGGATTTACGGAATGTTGAATAGTGAAATGTAAGTTGCGTCGTCGTACGATGTATGACATTATTACAAAAGCAGTCAAAGGAATCCAATCACGTTCCAGATAAAGCTTAGCTATTTACAAAATGTTTAATCAGAATGATAAATGATCAGATAACTTCACTGGCAAAAACAACATATCATATATTACCTACGGCATCTACCGGTTTGTCAGATGCAGTGTCACCTAAACCTCTAGCTGTGACTCGAATGAAGCAGACAATTTGCCACAAAAAATATGACCATTAGGTCTTTTTATCGAACCCGAATTCGGTAGACCCGCCGATTCTACTCTCTTAATAGAAGACTGTTAGAGCCAAGAATTTTCCTCTACATGAAAGTGAACCATGTGAAAAATAATTTTCCATGTTTTCTACAATTTAGAATCTGAAATTGTGTACCTCATTGAAAATCTGATGAAAACTTCAAAATCTCTCAACCTTTGTGCATTCGAATCCACACAGTTAAGGCTTCAAAATTCAGTACAACTAATTCATTGATTTTCATTCTGATGAAAAGCAAACAGGAAAATTCGTATATGGACAACCTTAACGAATTGAACAAAATCCGTCCGTCATTAAACCCATCAACTAACATGATTGATTAAGAACGCTTGACTTTACCAGAATCTCGATGAATATATTCAAATGTACTGTAAAGAGGTTGTTTTTTGCATCTAAATCAATCTGCAAGTCTCAATTCCATTTGACAGTCTATCAGAGTCACCATTCTACATTGAGAATGAAAACGAACTAAAAGTACTCACCACTAGCGCGATGAAACCTGGATCGAACCTACGAGACGGGAATTTACACTAATCTGAATTTCCATTAAGAAAGATTCTCCTAAATCGAACAACATAGTGGTAACCCTCATATGAGTATATCGAAATTCCTTTTGGTTTACAAATGAAACATAGTTTAAGTGAATAAAAAATTGGGTAATTCGTTACAGCAATCCAAAATCAGCATAGAAAAGAATTTCAAGCAGGTGACAGCATTCGCTAAACTGGTTGTAGAATATATTGGAAAATCTAAGTTTGAGCCATTAATCAATGTAATGTTTATCTATTTAGAAATAAAAGCATTGAAACGATATGCGAATTTATTTCAACGCGAAGCAAGTCGTTATCTTCCCGTTTGTTTTACATTTTATGCATTGGTGTATGATTTTTTGAAAGAAAAGAATTGTGTTGCGAATAGACATGGGAGATTCGATCGTGAGGGCTGTTGTTATTGTAGACAGTTTCAGTCAAAAATAGCAGGTTCCTTTTTCTCATCGACCCGCAACGCAGCCACATTGCTACTCACACTACGTGCTGTGGGTATGGTCAACATTGTTGCTAACGATTTGTTTAATAATTGTAACTGCTCCTACTAATCGAATTCATTCAGCCTAAAATCAAGATACCTGCTACCCGAAGTGACCACACCACATAACATCTGTTTCTTCTCAGCGTACCGTAGGATTTATCCTTTTTTTAAAATATGTAACTTACTTGGCTAAAATGGACTAGATTTTTAGTCGACGTTCCTGCTGGAGAGTGAGCGATAATAAGTGGAAGACGTGTCTAAATTAAAAGTAACATAAAATCATCATGGTAAAGGGGGCAGAAACTAGAAAAAGTTTACAAATAAACACCGTTTCTAAACAAAGTACAGTTTTAAATAATGTACCAAGATGACTTGACTTACAAAATTGTTTCGATGCTCAAAGTATCATTCATGTGAAAAAGTTCTCAAAGTTCTGGGAACTAATCACACCGAATATTTCAAGTGTTATACACATATCTTGGCACCATTTAAGCTGTTCATGATATCAGTATATTTAGAAGAAATACTAATGTTTACCAAGCGTGGAATAATTGATGTTTCATTTTCAAATGTGTTAACGCATTTTTAGTAAGATGAAGTCATTCCATGTTCACGTACAAAAACAACTAATGAATAAGATTAAATAGTCAATCACCTTTTACTACCAACTCATTAAACAGACAACATGATTTCCTATCTGTTTTTATAGTTATTTCGTCATTTAAATATTATGACTATAAAAAAGACAACAAAAATCAAATGGCAGATCATCTAAGATATTTAGTATTGTTTAGTTTCATATTCCATCAATTTCAGCTGTTAATTTATTTCTATACATTTTAGGATTAAGCATAATTGCCCATGTGTTTACTTCAACAATGTATAAAGTTCACACATGATTATCTCCTGTAGTGACTCATTTTTATCACGAGAACACGACTGCTTTAATGAAAACAATTATTATTATAACCAACTGTACCAGTGACTGTTTTAATGTGCTTTTGTTTAACTGTGCTAAAAAGCGTCCATTATTCACACACTTTGATAGTGACCTCGCGCGAATTCGGTTACGCTCTGTAACCAAGCTTGTGTCCTGGCACGATCTCGGTATTCTTTCGATATCACGAGATCGCCAGCAAATATATCTCGACTTGGTCCATTAACTGCCTTCTGATATTTGGCTTCCGAAGGATTTATTTGGCATGTGTTTCTCTGTAGCGGTGTTCATAGTCTATCGCGACTCGACACCACGCTACACTCCTATCCATTTCAGCGAAAATCTATTCTGATCAATTTGCTATGTTCAGATAAATTGTCATCATTTTATTTTACTGATACTATTGCATAACGAAATAGCTTATCTACTATCAACAATTTTGAACTAAATTGTTATAAAGTTAGTCCTACATGAAAAATACCGTTTCAAAGAATGAATAAGTTCTAAGTAATTTTAATAAGGATTAGGCAGATAAATTATGAAATTATTTAACTATAGTGAATTATTTTAAATCACAAATGTTTTTACATTCTCACCAAATTAGTATTGAAGCCATCGTTTCCAGCAATACTATCAATAACGGACATGCACAAATTCGGGCCAAACCCGCAAAGATACTTTCCTAAAATCTTCATATAATGATCCGACGGAAGGACTTCACCACGTGTCAAATATTTTAAGACAAACTGAGCAATTATATAGTGATGAACTAGTGGGAGGAAAATGCCTTTCACATTTGCGAAATAGCCAACTGGGCCAAAGGCTATAAATAGATTAATATTTGATTGTAATTCTGGGTTGTCATCTAATGCCGTCATAGCGATAAGTGATCCCTTATGCCAAAAAATAGAAAAAAAACTACAAACCAGGAATGTAGTAAATGGAAAATTTCATATGAATATGTATAGGAAGGATGTTTATCAAATTAGGAACCGAAAGTTAAAATTGTCTACTGAAATTTTATACAAACTGTTTTAGCTAAGTTTTATTCTCTTATTTAACTCTAATAAATGTACATTATATTCGACGGGTTTTCACTGACGTAATTAAGATTTGGAACGACGAAAATCGAGCATATATTTGAATTATGATGCACGTACTGGAATTAGTGGGAAAAGATTAAAGATTACTCCTGATCATGGTCAATCTCTTTAATGTCTGAAAGCAGTTGTGAAGTATCCACCTTATTCGATTAATGAAAAGGATCTGAGACTATTACTAGTTAGTACGAAACGGAGCATAACATTTTGCAGTATTTATCTAGGTACTTGTTCAGACGATTTTTACATTACCCTTAAAAATATTCCACCGGAATCTCCAAAAATACAGATATTCCTTGAATTTCTATTATAGACGAAACTAAATTAATATAAAGAATAGTTTAAACAAAACGAAGTGTGCGAGATTCAATAGTTCCATTTGTCTGACCACTGGGTTTTGACATAGTTAACATAAATATGCTGTCTGTATTTGAAATTATATGCGTTACAATGATTTGCACAACTATCTTCTTCGATAAACACTAAGTAAATTCTGAAAATCCCAGCCAAAATCCGAAGCAATGTAAGTTCCTGGTGTAACGATGGGATTATTCGAGGGATCATGAATAAATGCTGTTTTACCCGATAGCAAAGAATCTTTTATTCCTTAGGATGTAACACAGAAATAACTCGAGCGTGACAGCAATATTCCTTAAAATGAGTTAGTAACTTACTGTAAACTTATTCCAGTCCATTTTACTTTTAAATGCTTTGTAAAGTTGAAGATAGTCTTTTAAATAAGATATCTTTTTAGCAATTTTAGTGTATGAACCAGATATGAGCACATCAAAATAAAACTTAAGATGAGCTTATGGTTATAACTTAAATATTCTTTAATAATCCATATATGTGTAGTCTCTAGTTGGACATACTATACATAAGTGAATATTTTGTTTAGATCACCTAGATCATAAGAGACGGAGGATCTTAAGAGACCCCCAAACACCTTTGATATGCCTTGGCGTTCTATCGAGTACGTTCAGCAAGTAACTGCAATCTGAAAAACAATCTGTAACAGTGACAGGTCTTTCTAATAATCCAACTTTCATATTACATCATATTTATTGTTGGGTTGCATGACAGATGTGTTTGCTATTTTTAAGCATCATCTGAATAAATAATTACAATTTAAACATCACTTCTAATACAAGTTATCCGTCATGGCGGTTTTTTAATTTCGGGCATAACTCCAAGAACCGCCATGTTAGATGCAAGTGCTCCGTTTACACGGTATAGTTTTTCTGCGTTCTTGAATGTAATGGAGCATAGGGTATTGAATAAACCGAATATTATTATACTCTATTTTTAATGAATTACCATAAAATTTATGAGATTTTTTAAAATGTTTATCTGAAAAGTAAGTAGGTTTATGAATGATTCCTTTGATAACCCCAATGAGCCAAGATAACTTTCCTATAGATAATGAAAGGGAATAGTGTTAGCATACTTTTTAACTTTCAAATAAACAAAGGTAAATAGTTTACCAGTTATTTTTCAGAAAAAGTATTCTCCCTCATTTTTCATGTTTCTTCACAAAAAATATGTCATTTACTAAATTGAAAGTATCAAAGAGCAAGAGAACTACCAGCTCTTTACGACAATAAATAAACAGTTTTTAATTACTGAATATATAGTGTCTGCCTCTGTACATGAAGACTTATAGCGATGCATCTACTAATATTATCTTAGTGTAATATAGAATGCAATACACTTATTCACATGTATTCCTTTGTTCCGACAGCCAAGGATGCAATTAAATAGGAAAAACACGTGAAATGTTCATAGATTATATTGTAAGCAAGCACAGTAAGCAGTCCAACTTGAATCAACATGAAGAGAATTCATCAGGTAAGGAAGTATATAAACAATACTTAATCGTTTCCAATACGCACAAACAGTACTGAAACTATACAGCAGTTACAAATTTAAGATATTTTCAATAAAACATGCAATAGTACTACCAAAGACTACTGAGAAATTTCCATAGTTAAAAAACTGCCCTATTGTGTGATCGAGTTATTAAATTATTTTAATTTAAAATACTGAAGCTAATCATAACAAAATATTAGGAATACAATCCCAAATATTGCAAACGTTTATGGGACGTAAGAACATTAACAAATGAAAAACAATTTGTTCTCCTAGGTATTGGTCTATAATCGTTCTAACTGTAGTTTCATCTTTTCTTCATAATTACATAATACTGAGGAATCGGCACATTTGTTATGATGGATTAAACGTCTAAAGTGTTGCGATGTGTGGGAATTTCCATATTCCAAAAGTTTAACAGCTTACATGTATTATACTTGTCAAATGCTTTACTAGAGTGAAATATTAGATATTATTGTAAAACAAATAAACATAACTGAGGGATGCTTTGACTAAGACACATAACCGAAGAATCAACCACTGAAATTGCTCGTTTAATTTTTTCGATATGATTTGGAGTTTTCTCTTGTACAAACATATTTGGGTGTTTTCTCATATCAAACATAATAACAAAATAAATCTACGTTACTGAGATTAAAGGTTTCTATAACTAGTTGCAGACATTAATTTAAATTAAGAGACATTTTATTCATTCTAGCAGTTGTCTTCATAGAAGCACTACTCGAAAATAATATAATAGGTATTATCTGGTTATTTTAAGCAAGATCGTTAATGATTTGTACTTCTACAGTGAATTTAAAGCTGAAGATCAAAAGAAGAGGGCTTAAATTTATGCATTGTCGTGAGTAAACGTAATGTTTATGCATCTGATGTAAATAGTGATGTCTTAAAATTGAAAAAATCTTTGAGTTTACTGAGTAGATATTAAATCACCAAAGGTGTACTATGTGCTTACCTGAGAAAATCCAATATAGCTTAGTTGTTTCACCTTAGTAACAGATATAATATATCTGATTGTAGCCGGAAAATCATAACCCGACATTTCTTGCCATGAAAAATCCCAATATTCTTTTTGACTTGAATCAAGATGCTTATGTTTCTTTGAATATGTATTGCCTCTGCTGTTTCCTAGCCAAACATCATACCCATAATCAGCCAAAATATATCCTAAACTCTGATTTTTTAAATTCATCACCCATGCATGTGACGAGTCCAACAATCCATGTTGCAATAAAACAACTTTACGCTCTAAAATTGCAAAAAATAATGATATTCCTGATCTTGGAAGTGAAACACCGTTCAAGATTTAAATTCAGCTCACAACACTTACTTTGATAAACTGACTGTTTTGTGTAAAGTCTAATTAAACACAGAATATATTGATCACTGGTAGTAATCTCATGTTCTTCGACTAGATAGCCTTGTCTCCGAATTATTTCACTCTTTACAAGTAAAATGTAAGTTACCCTTCAAAGTAAGTACTTACAATATTCATATATATCTCCGGGTCACTTTTAATTTCGAATAGAGAATCAACTAGATGTAGATGAGAACACAAATATCCTATCCATCCTATTAGGAATACAAAAATCATAATATTTGTAGGTGAATACCTAGAAAAAGATTAGTGAATGCACTAAAATATATTTTACTTATATTTTCGTAGAAACAACACATATGTATATGTTTGTATAGATAACACTTAAACACGACGAAATGAGGCCAGATTTGTTAACTTTGTACTTAAACAACTCAAAAAGTAATATTTATCTAAATATTATATTCATTTTGAAATAACCTTTATTTTATGCGTGTGCCGTGGTCTGACTAAAGTGATAAAAAAGTTTGCTTGGTACATCTAAAATTCGTAGGTAATTTTTTTTGCCAAGCTCAGTTTCAACGACTGGTTGATTGATTTTTTATGGACATTAATTACGAATTATTTTTATTAATCAAGCAATTATTGTCGATAAGACAGTATAATAGTAATAATAGTGATAATAATAATAATTATTATTATTATATATAGAAGGGGCATAGACGTTGTGACTTCCTACGAATCTCGACTGTCACCATGAGGCTACATAATTCTTCCTTCGACCCCCAGGGGTTTAATTTGTTTACTCTGGTTAGTGTTATTTTAGCAAGATTGTTTTCTACGGGATGGGGTTGCCGGCACCACGCCCAACCCTCCTCCTTTGTGTGTCCTTGGGATTGGCAGTAACTGCAGAAGAGCTACAGGCGGAGCTATATACAGCTGAGAACTACAAAAATTTAAGAGTTTAGGACTGAGAAGTCAATTCAGTTTAAAGGACCCATGGTTTCATTGTCAAGAGAACCCTGAAGCTTCAGTTTTCACACCGAGTACGTTTTCTTCAGACGTTTTTGCCGGTCTAAACTATCCCCTTAGTCAATTTTATCATGATAAAAGCATCATCCATTAGAATTTGTTCTTAATTGTCTAAGAAAGCATAAGAAACTTATAGTAAACGATTTACTAAAAGACGTGGAATACGTGCATAAATTGCTCCAAGCTTTTCGAATGATTTGTCAAAACAAACAAAAAGAAATATCATACATTCTCAGCGGCTAATATTTATGGTAATTTTTTGGTGCGATGGACAAGGTTCCAACGAGTTGAAGTGGAAGTAACCTAGAAATTTTTTTCAAATAACCCATGATATTCTAATCACATTCAAAGGAGTGATTATATAATAATATGTACAATAATTTAGATATGTTGCTAATGGCTCTTTAAGCTTATGATATTAGTGATCGTAATTTGAGCATGTTACTGATTAACTTATGTCAATTGATAGTCAGTTTAATTTAATTAAAGCGAACTATTTGTCTCGGTGAATAAAACATAAAACTAAGTGTATTAGGGACTACACTTATATGGATTATTAAAGAATATTTAAGTTATAACCATAAGCTCATCTTAAGTTTTATTTTGATGTGCTCATATCTGGTTCATACACTAAAATTGCTAAAAAGATATCTTATTTAAAAGACTATCTTCAACTTTACAAAGCATTTAAAAGTAAAATGGACTGGAATAAGTTTACAGTAAGTTACTAACTCATTTTAAGGAATATTGCTGTCACGCTCGAGTTATTTCTGTGTTACATCCTAAGGAATAAAAGATTCTTTGCTATCGGGTAAAACAGCATTTATTCATGATCCCTCGAATAATCCCATCGTTACACCAGGAACTTACATTGCTTCGGATTTTGGCTGGGATTTTCAGAATTTACTTAGTGTTTATCGAAGAAGATAGTTGTGCAAATCATTGTAACGCATATAATTTCAAATACAGACAGCATATTTATGTTAACTATGTCAAAACCCAGTGGTCAGACAAATGGAACTATTGAATCTCGCACACTTCGTTTTGTTTAAACTATTCTTTATATTAATTTAGTTTCGTCTATAATAGAAATTCAAGGAATATCTGTATTTTTGGAGATTCCGGTGGAATATTTTTAAGGGTAATGTAAAAATCGTCTGAACAAGTACCTAGATAAATACTGCAAAATGTTATGCTCCGTTTCGTACTAACTAGTAATAGTCTCAGATCCTTTTCATTAATCGAATAAGGTGGATACTTCACAACTGCTTTCAGACATTAAAGAGATTGACCATGATCAGGAGTAATCTTTAATCTTTTCCCACTAATTCCAGTACGTGCATCATAATTCAAATATATGCTCGATTTTCGTCGTTCCAAATCTTAATTACGTCAGTGAAAACCCGTCGAATATAATGTACATTTATTAGAGTTAAATAAGAGAATAAAACTTAGCTAAAACAGTTTGTATAAAATTTCAGTAGACAATTTTAACTTTCGGTTCCTAATTTGATAAACATCCTTCCTATACATATTCATATGGAATTTTCCATTTACTACATTCCTGGTTTGTAGTTTTTTTCTATTTTTTGGCATAAGGGATCACTTATCGCTATGACGGGTTAAATCCTATGTTTATGTAGGATAATAAAGTGTCGAACAAACGATCTAAAAGTACGCTGAATTCCCCCAAAAAGAATTACGCAACAAGTTCACATATAATTAGACCTGATAATACAGAATTTGAAGTTATCTACCTTAGTTCACATAACCACCGCCGAAGTCTGAATCGAGAATCGTCAAAACTGAGACGAAGTAAGTATAGGGAATGCCTTGATGTTAAGTAATGAAAGCATTCGGCAACAGTAACCAGAAGTCAGTATGTGACTGTTACACACAAGTAGAAGTCAATAAGAAACAACAGAATTCCTATTAACCTGAGATCTGGCATGTTAACACCTGAAAGTGTAGTGAATTCAGAATAGTAGAGCGTTCTAGGTTGGACCACTTATCGGAAGCACTTTATTAGGAAAGTGATGTGAACAGAAGTTGATTTCCTTAATATTAAGTCTAACGAGGGGAATCTTGTGGTCGTACCGCTTATATGGTTGCTCATGAAGTCAGACAATGTTTTGAAACTCCGGGAACCCTTTATCACATCACTTCATTGGTGTAGTTTTTAAAATTAATTGATTGTAACTCATTTAAGATCATTAATCTGATTTAGATTTAAAATATTTTTATTGGTTTTTAATGGAAGGATTTATAATTCTTTTTGGCATCAAATCAGCATTTACTAATTTTTGCTGATGTTCTTTAGAAAAATCTGGTTTAAATTCTTTTTTACGTACGTTTCGACGATTTAAAGTTAATTTGAAACACATTTAAACCTTGTTGAATGAATCGGACTTTATCAGATTATTTTAATCCACTCAGTTTCACCTTTGTCGAAAATATTTTACAAGAAAAAATAATATACATGCGGATCTGTCATATCTCACTTCTGTATATTTATTTTTCGATATTGAAAGCCTTGATTTGGATGACGTAAATGAGAATGCAAATACGAAAATGGGGATTTAATAAACACCAAAATAAACCAAAAACATATCTAAATTAGGAATTGTAAATCCAGGTACATATGAAAAATAAATATACAGAAGTGAGAATATGACAGATCCGCATATTTTTTTTTTGGAAAATAAAGTAATTTCGACAAAGGTGAAACTGAGTGGATTAAAATAATCTCTTGGTCTTTCATATCTTCCTGGTTCGAGTCTTAAAGATTGAGTAACTCAGTGGCTAGAGACGGCACCAAACATGGGTCAGAATTGAAGTCAGTAGCGTTCCTGCCGTAACTCGTTATAAAAGTGAGTAATTTCTCGAACTGGAAGGACTCTTCCTCGTTTTTATTCTTATTGGACTGCTTCTTCTATTATTACTGTCTCACTCTCATACATTAATCACCATTAATTGTTGCTCCTCTTTTTCATTACTCTCACTTTCCTCTCTTCACAACCTCAATTTTGTTGTGGCGCATATATATTTTGGTGCCACTAAACCAATGTCTATTAGTTCAAATAAAGCACCCTCCACTCTGAAGACAATTTCCTCATTAATTCATAGTCGGTAGTTAATTATTTTGATTGGCTGCGTATGTAAAAATGGAAGTAACAATGCGTGCAATAATTATGCTTCAGGAAACTCACTATTAAGAGGTGCTTAACGGTAAAATTAAAAACCTGTAACGCACACACATATGTTTACATGATAATTGAATAGTGAAACTCCAGATGATCAGAAAATGTAGGGATATTTCCCTGCATTTTGGTGTAATACATTACGCCATACGAGTGGTAGACTGCATCTCGATCACAATCGAGTATAAAAGCTACTTTACGATTAATAAATGACTAGTTTTTTGGACACATTACTGGCCAAGCAGAGGACCATACTGCACTGATTTTCATAACTTGAGTAAATGAAGGATTTGGTAGAGGGTCCTAGAAGTTTGAGAACATTGTCTGACTTCATGAGCAACCACATAAGCGGCACGACCACAAGATTCCCCTCGTTAGCCTTAATATTAAGGAACCCAACTTCTGTTCACACTGTCATCGTTTCCTCGGTTACCAGACATACCAACCATCTGCATCTATGCTGCTGTTGTCAGTTCGGATTTTTATAGCGTTGTGACAACTTTGGCATCGGACAGATAAACGAGGCTTCGCATTGTGAAACATATCAGTGTCCATCTGTTCCTTATTTCCATGTTTTTCCAAACTAATGTGAAGTACGATTTAACGTGTACATAAATGACTCCGTATTCAGTCAAAGTCTTATGATGCTTTTTAGTCGTTTCTCTACACCCGTGTGGCAGGCAGTGTGAACTCATGGGATACTGGTAGAATTCTCAAATCCAATCGTAGATTCATGTAGTCTTAAAATGCAAAGCCTATCGGCACACACCTGTCTGAAATTATTTAACTGACACAACCGTCTCACCCAGAGATCGTTCAGGCTACTTCTGGACAAACGGCAGATAAGAAGCGCTGAAATTACGAGCATATTAACGTTTATTTCATAAGGCACAAATTACAAAATTTCCACTCATTAAAAAGACGTTTTTTCGCAGATCGAGCTCTGGACAACCAGCAAGCGCCTTTACGTTTGCCAAGGAAAATTCGTACCGTATGGCTGCATGTAGTAAGAGTCCCAGTTTGCCTACAAATTAATTATGAAAATCCTTTTGAGGAAATAAAATAGACTTCCAAAAGCAAAAACATCCTCGGTCTGCGACAGGGAACTCTATTCTTAGAATGCACGTTACGACACTAACTATCACACCATTGCTTGGAATCCAAGAAATTGGAATAATTTTGTAAATCGCAATCCATGACCAGCATTTAGAATGTACTTCAGTCTAACAAGATAAGCAGCAAAGCAGTGTTACCTTCATCGATATATGGGCAACCGCCAACTACTATCTCGTTTAGGCGAGTACTATCGATACGAAACCGGTAGTTGCATCACATGCAGACTGTTAGACGAAGACAATTCTAGTCATGTGACAGAGTACGAAGGAAAAAGTAACGCGCATTCAGTTTACTTGTTTCTAAAACAGCGTGTGATGTATTATCTGCTATCCGATATAAATTCTTGAATAGATTGACTGATAAACTCATACACTGAGAACATTCAACCAACACAGTAGTTCAACCTGAAAATGTATTTAAAAATGAAGACATAGAACGGGAATTGTCACACGGCATAAACTTGTACTTCAGAAAAAAACGGAGCAAAGTTTATTGTTGAGGAATAGGAGGATGACCAGGAGCAGGAGGCATGCTAGGAGCACATTGTATTGATTGTGTGCCTGGCATAGTCTGTCCCGGAGGAGCTCCAGCACCAGATTGACCTGGTGCTCCTGTTTGCTGCTGTTGCCACGCTTGCCAAGCTTGCCATTGTTGCCATTGCTGCCACTGAGCGTAGTCGTACTGAAAACGAAAAGAATGGTGGGAGCCAAAACGGAACCCGTCAGAATGAATCACAAAAAAATTACTTAACACAATGAAACTTTATAAAATCCGCTGACTGATTCTAGATATGCGGAATAACTGCGTATCAAAGAAAAGTTTAATGTAGCCTCACCTGTCCAGCAGCTGTTGGTTGTGCTTGAACAGGAACTTGAGATGGTGCAGCCGCCGGTGTACCAGATTGTGCAGCCTGCACGTGACCTGTAGGTACTGGAGCGGTCTGTTGGACAGCAGCCACTGAGGGTTGTTGAGCCTGTCGTAGAATGGCATCAGCGCATTCGTGCATTCCTTGACGTCTGTAGTATTCAGCCCAAGCTGCACTATAATCAGGTTGACCGGTGTATGGGTTGTATGTAGGAGCCGGCATGGCAGCTGCCGCAACGGCATTTTGGGCACAGTTAGCCATGGTCCACGGATCTGAAAAAAAACACAGAAAGTTACAAAACACATTAGTGTCAATTACAACAAATTTAGATGTGAAAGACCGTCCCGGTACCAGTCTATCTTATTTTTTGACTACAATTATCGAGTCAACCTTCAACTCCAACATTGTGGAGCTTTAAACCCAATATAACATCCTATAATGAAACCAAAGTTAACAAGTGTCAATCACCAGCAATTTTTAATAGCTATTTCTCAAACAAATAAAAAAATCGAGTAACACGTTAAGATGGGAATCGTCATTAAGGCTTACAGCTGGTGTTGTTCGAAAGTTTCAAGCCGCCGATATCAGTTTGAGCCAGTCACTCTCAATGCCCAATAATCGTTTGTCGCTGCTTGGTTGAGTGCAGCTAGCTCTGACTGCGACACAGCTTCTAAAGCTGTCAGTCAGTCAACAAAAAACATTAAGCTTACCTGCATGTGGGTAGCCGTATTGACCCCAAGGCCCAGGAACAGCACCGGTGGTAGTAGCTGGTCGAGTCATGGGAATACCAGCACGCTCAGAGATCATTCTTTAAACACCATCCGACATCCAGAGAAATGAGAACCAGGGATTAGTGAATATACGAATGGCACGAATAGGCATATACCGAAATGATAAAGACAGTAACAAATAGAAAAATATTGCTTTGATAATCGGAGTAAGCACATACACATTTAATCAATTACACAAAAGGCTTACATGGAGGTGATACTATCACAAACAAAGAACATTACCTTATGGCTTGTTCTATCTCTTGTCTGTTACCACGGACATTAAATATTTTGATAGAAGGATCTGGCGGTGGTTCCTTTGATATTTCAACATGAGCTCCACTGACGCGACAGATCTCTTTAATCGACTCTCCACCTTTACCAATTACAAGTCCTGCTTTCTCAGCCGGAACGGCATATTGGGATGTTTCCTGGCCGTCGTATCCGTAGTGCATTGACCCTCCAGGACGCTACAAAGTATATTAATAAACAATTTGTCTTACATCTCGAGAATTTATGAGAACAAGAACAGCTTGTCGAGCCTTTTCCACTCGTGCTGGTTCACCGGATATTCGAAGTGGTTTGTCTTCAGGAGTCGGGTTGTTTGACTGTTGAATAAGCACCATTTTGACGCCATTCTCTTCTTGCAAGTTTTTGATAGTCTCGCCGTTTTTGCCGATCACTAAACCCGCCTTTAAACCAGGAACCATCATCTCAATAGTTGTTATGCTTCCAGTTGAATTATAAGCAGGAGTAGTTGGTGTGCCGTTCTTACCAGCACGCTCAATTATGTCACCAATCATTTGTTTAGCATGACTGAAAATCTAATTATATTTACACAACTTACTCAATTTGCTGAGGAGTTCCAGTTAGGGTTACAGTACGCTCGGGAGTACCAGCTAAGATGTTAAACAGGGAATAAACGCATTACCTTGAGATATTTGAACCTTGCATTGTGTGTCATTTTGGAGTTGTGTTATTTGCTCCCCACCTTTCCCTATAACTGCACAATAGGATAACTACATATTTTGAAAACTGACCTAGGCCAACATATCTATCAGGGATAGCCGTCTCAGTAGTAACAACCCTGGAACCAACAGAGTTGTTGTTTGAGGTTGGTGGTAGAGTTGTGGTAGGCTGTGAACCACCTAGCTTCTGATTTATCCGAGCAGCAGCTTCAGCAGCAGCAGCCACCTTGTCCATTACTAAAGGGCGTTTTTCAGTCGTAGCAAAATTGTTATTTTCCTCCTGAGCAGGCCTTTTCATACCAGCTATGCCACCATTGGTTGTGGACCCGTCATCGGACATAGAAAATTTTGAAACAATCTAACCAGGAAGTGAATGATTACAGGACCGAATGCAAACCACCTGCTTTGCTCGCTCGATGGCGCTGGCATAAGCCTCGTTACCTGCCATGGGGGATACAATATGGCCGTAATTAAAGTAGCCTATTAAAAGAAATCAATAAAGTCTGAAAATTTTCACTTTTCGCAGATTTTTTAACTGATTTTAATTTAACATTATTACAAGTGTCTATATCATACTTGACATAAATGTTGGATTTTTGACACATCCTAGTCATGTGGACTGAGGATAGCCTGTAAGAACTACATTAAAAACAACTTGATCTATTATATTGGTACACGTATTTAGTCATTTCTCGTTTATATTCATGTTTACTTGAAACGTCTGCAAAAAGACGCTATAAAATTATTATAATCTTTTGCTTTTCAGAAATTGTTAACAAAAGACCACCAACTACCTACCGCTAATTCAAAGCATTTGCTCTCTTGAACACATTACTTATCTTCATTCGTTGTTTTGGTAGTGGGAACAAAATATTTAGACTACTATTATCATACAAGGGTTGAACCAGTATGTGGTAGGCATAACCGTCTCGATGAATAATTCCATTCACAGTTGTTCTAACCGCGACCCGAACCTTTTGAAATCAAGGCAGTGGTAAATCGTCGACGCTAAAACCTAAAAAGGCTTCCAAAAAGGCGCAAATTGAGGCTAGCGAACCTAAAACAGGGCCCAAAACAACGACCGATCCTCCTACCGAAAAACACAAACACCTAAAGCTTATATTTCATTAATTACGAAGGGCCTCATTTGCGTCCACCACCATCAATTAGTGGGACTAACTTAAAAGAAAAGGTATCTGCATCCACAAAATTCACTTTCAAGAACAATATATTGGATTGGTTGGACACAAATAACGATCGCATTATACGTACCTTACGAAATGACAAAATTCACTTCTTATACAGTCATGACTTTGTGATAGATGGGTTCGCTAATATTCTGACAAAGAAATAAAGGTTCAAGATGAGACAAGCACTTTAGTTTTTTGGTACTTCTGTCAGGAATGTACGGCCAATCCTCTCATAAAATCTAGGATAACTAAGACTTCCTATGCAAAAACTAAATGGACAGAATTCACTTCAGTTGGAATAGGTTGTGAGGTTAGCAGAATGTCATTAAATCCTACTCTAGTTTTATGTCGAGCTGAATCCGACGTTAACCAACATGGTTCCGGCACGTATTGCAGTATATTCACATTTCATCTGAACTAAATCTTGTTAGCCCTTTATATTTAAAAAATTACTTCACCGTTAATATTCTGTATGTCATCTAGGACTCACTAACGTGACGATCGATGTGATCTAGGGATTGGCATGAGGCGGTCCGGATGAAAAATATATAAACACCATATACAGCAGTGGAAGTAGCTGTCAAGCCGCCTAAGTGTGTACACCGTGACGGCCATTAGCGTAAGCTGACTACCTCTAGTATACATCGGACGACATATAAAATTCCATACCTTATATAACTGTGTAGACTCAAAGATAATAATATCAAAAGACAACTAGCCATCTCTCGATATCAACGTTAAGAGCGCTGGCGTGCATCGTACGACGCTGTTCCAGAGTGATAAGAAACACAGTGACGAGGATGTATATGTGACCTACATCTTCAGCAACTTCAATAACAATATACTGAGTCATCGATTTTTGAGCTCCCATTTTTCAAACGGTTGTGTTTCGACTAAAAAGATATCGAGTACCTGATTTGTAAAATATATCTTCCTCCACCATTGACTCCAAACACAAGGACTAGATATTCCAGCCGTTATTGCTGCTGGCTCAATCAATGTATATAGTAAAGGATTTCGACACCACTTTCCAAATCTTCTGAGAAGAGATATCGAACCTATGGGGCTGGTCGGTAGTCAACTAGCATATGAAGCACTAAATACGAGACGTGATATTAAAATACCAGCTTATTGTCGATAATACTGGCGAATGCTGTACAACCAGAAAGTGCAGAACCATTTTAAACACATAATTTTATCGATTCATACCCTTTATGCTAAAAATTGACGAAATCGTTCCTGCCGATTGCGAAGTCAATGTGGAGTCTGTAGATTTCGACTTTACAAAGGAGTGAATCAATCATTATGTCAAACAAGATAGTTATACAAACTTACACTCGACTTCTCCATGAATTGCTGTGAAAAACAAGCTTGAAAATATTATGAATCCCAACCCGCCACTTCTGATAATATTGCCTAACAAGCTTCGTAAGGAAAACGTCTTTTTAGCGAAAACCAAGTCTGCAACACAGATTTCGACGAATAACTGTTTATATTATCGGCCAAAATAGCAAAATACTTCCCAGACAGACGGTATAACCCCAATTCAAGCAATAATACGATAGCTAAAACGAGAGCACCGCCATGAAAATACGAGGAGACTACACATCAACAACCAGGTATAATTTAACAGTCAGCCTCCAAAGTAATATAATACCTGAACCATGCGAAAGAGCCCTAATATTTTAGTGCGTTCACATGGGACTACGTTCAATTTTAGCTAACCCCATATCGTATCAGCGCAATCTCTGACAAACCAACGATCGCTACAAATACTAGACTTCGTCAAACAGAAATATGATCGCCACCGAAATTATATGCTGCTAACTCCCGTACCACGTATAATACAAACCTCTTGGGAATTAGTAAATAGATTGACAACAAATACTTTAAAATATGTGATAACACAGTTGGTAAGGTTAAAGCCATTTTTCATGAAATCATCATGCCATCATAACGGGAAAAGTATCTGGAAAGCTGAATTTTTGGAAATCGTTGTTGATATTTTTGTTTTTGAATTAATATTTGCTTAGGTTACGGCACTTTTATGTTTTTCTGTGTCTCTGTATAAATACTAAGGCTCTTACTGAGAATGAGATACAGTTTAACGAACTACCCCCAACTGTCTAAGCAGAACAATTGAACGAAGAGCTGCACATGAATCCGTTCGTTCAGCGATCACGGCAAGTTCATTCGCTGGTTAACAACACCGACAAGATATCATTTACAACAGTCTTAGCAATAATATTAAACACAAATATCTAAACCACAAGTTGCCAATCACACATGAAAACCGCTAACCAGGTTACATTATGCTTATACTGACGCCAGAAAATGGAATGTTGGCACGACCAAGCATAATAAATGTATCAGCAACTTATTTCCCTTGACAGTCTGCTTGTCAGAGGCTTCGTAACATATAGAATATTTTATGTTAGAACTTTCTGAAGTCATTGGTCATCTATTACGAACCCATTACTGAGTTCTCAACTATGCTGTACTTATACCCTCAGTGAGGTTTTTTAATGATGTTGATGAGTGGTCACCGTTATATTCAATGAAAATTTACGAGTTTAACATGAGGCTGGAGTGAGTATATTAGAAGCTGGATGCTGACTTCTCTAGAACTTAAAGCAAGTCACTTAAGAGAGCTTAAGTATAATGGACTAGTGATGTCTCAGAAAATTTTTGCACCGCCATACTGCCGAATGTTTGTTCTCATGACGCACAACTGGCTTTCTATCGATGTTACTAACTCTTGTACTTGAATGAACGGTTTCTGAGTTTACCGTTGTACCCAGAATTCGAGAAAAGTAGGGCGCTATCAAAATGTTTCTAGTATCACATAAGTAAAAATATGCTGTAGCATCCTATTATGAAAGTGTCAGACTTGATTTGACAAAACTTCAAATATTTGTTGAAGGAATGTAATGAGCACCAAGTACTTCCGGGCAAATCAATATTGCAGCGAGTTAGTCATTCGCACATGTTGCCTTTCTTTGTCTCCACAGCGAAGTAGTTGTCCAGGGCTTCAGTCAATATGATATCAGCTTGCGCGCATTATCTTACTCATTATGCTTTGAAATTATAATTCGATCCATTGGCATACATGAATAAAATAAATACTCACATTCGTAAATGTACGACAACAATATTATGGATTGATATTTGGTGGCAAAATCACACCGGATGCGGCATTACTTAGTTGGAAATTTTAAAGAGATAACTATAATATTGTTCTACTCACATGGTGATTGCGGTGGCTATAAAACCACTGCAACGACAGAAATACCGACATTCGGTTTAAACGCAGAATTAACAAGCGAACTACGTTCTTCCACATAAATTATGAAACGGAAGAAAAACGCCGAAAATCCATCCACAGCACTTCGTTGGACAGTACTGTCATTTACTTATTTCTTTTCCCTGTCGTGTATTTTAACCTTTATTCAGACTTCGTTTAACCACAGTTTGTGTTCTTCAGTCTTCCTCGTTTGCGCCCTTATTGTATGAATTTGATTAAAGACCTGCCCTTTGTTACCTAATTTTTCTACTGCATGTTGCTGGACTATTGACAATAAGGTCATGTTTGATTAGGCTCAAGGTCACGTCGTGGTTCAGTGTTTGACTGTTAACCTTCGACTGTCTGCTTCGAGAGATTACTGAGATCCCTGGAAATAGTTGTCTGATCTCATGTCGTTGGAAGTATTTTTATTAATTCTCAGGTATCGAGCTCTTGTGCGTTGACTTTTTTTTGTTCATTAGCCCTGTATATCTATATAACACAGGATGTACCGTTTGAGGTACTTTGTATTTTTGATATAATTTATTCTTTCTTAAATTAGAATCGTGTAAGTTGGGTACAGATCTTGTGTTTTGGTATAATTTAATACGAGTAACTCAGAAACGTTTCATAGGCTATACAAAAGAACGTAGTCTGATCTAGTCGGGTAAATTTTGGTTCGTTAGTTCTGCGCTCAAACAGAATATAGGCAACTAGGTTTTCAAAAATTATGAAACGTTTTTGAACGAATCATATTAAATTTTATCAAAACACAAAATCTGTGCTAAATTGAGAAAGGAGACATATTTTATCGAGTGTGCAAAACGCAAACGGTACATCCCGAGCTGTGCAGTCAAGGGTTTCTTCAGCAGAAATTAACTTGCTTAAAAACGAAGTGAATAGTTAATGAATAATAGTTTATTACTTAAGAATCAGTAAAAATATTCCTGAAAGATGGGATCAAACGTTTATCTACAAGGATTCCAGTAACATTTCTAAGCAGTCAGTCAGAGGTTGACAATCATACGCTGAACTGCTCCGTGACCTAGTTCAGATAAAACGACCTTATTGTCAAAGACCTGAGAACATGTCTCAGTACAGTTAAGAAAGTGAGTATTTAACCAATATCAAATAACA